GAGTTACCCAGAAATAGGCCAGCACCTGTGGTCTGGCCGCTGAACGGATCCGCTTAGAGAGGATGGGTCTCTCACAGGATGTAGTGCGCACAATTCAGGTTTCACGTGCTGCATCTACCACAACGCTATGCACATCAAAGCGGACAGCTTTTCAGCGCTGGTGTACAGAGAAGGGTGTAGAGGCCACCTCATGTCCATTAGGTGGCATGCTGTCCTTTCTGCAACAGCTGATGGACAGAAATTTGGTGTCCAGCACGATTAAAACGTACGCTGCAGCCATCTCTTCCTGCCACAAAGGGTTCGGAGACAGAACAGGTTTTAATAATCCGCAGATGAAGCGTTTTCTAAAAGGTGTACAGAGACGCAGGCCTGTTTCACACCCACTTGTTCCACAGTGGGATTTAACACTGGTCCTGCAGGTCCTGATCAAAGCTCCATTTGAGCCTCTGGATCAGGTTCCACTTAAATTCTTGTCTCTTTAAAGAGCCCTGCTGTTGGTTTTAACATCCGCTAAGAGAGTGAGTGATTTATCTGCCCTCTCTGTCGCTCTGTCATGTCTCAGAATTCAGGCTGATGGCAGCTCAGCTGATTTAAGACCAAACCCAGCTTTTATGCCTAAAAACATCACGAGCTCTTTTAAATCAAGAGCGATATCATTGGAGCCCCCCCCCCCCCCCCCCCAGATCAGAAGAAGTAGCATCTTTTCATCTTCTCTGTCCGGTGCGGGTGTTGACGTGTTACATAGCGTGCACAGCTGCAATGCGTAATGCGTAAACATTTGTTTGTGCATTATAGAGATGCATCTGCAGGTCGCCTGTTATCCACCCAGCGCTTGTCACACTGGCTGTGTGAGTCCCTTTCTGAAGTCTACAGAGCATCAGATTTAGAGCCTCCTGTCAACCTCAGAGCACACTCGACCAGGGGTATTGCATCTTCGACTGCCTTGCATAATGGTATGACAATGAAGGCATTTTGCACTTTGGCTGCACCTTGCTCATTCATTCACTTTTATCTACGTGATGTGATGGCTCGTTCCATGACATATTCTGTCCTTAGTGCTTACAGAATGAATATTGTTGTTTCATGGAACTCCGTTTAACTCACATCTGTCTGCATGCATTACAGTGTGAGACGTTGTTATCAATCACAAATTGTGATTGTTATTTTGGTTCTATTGTCACTAATCAGTTCACGACTATTGTTACCAATCAGTTCATTTGATTAATAATCAGCTCTCCTGTTATTATTATTCTGTTCATACTGTTCAGCCGTGAACCGGTTGGTTCATGGCTCTTTTCAGCATTTTTCCCTCCCTGTTGAATTTTCCGGGGCGTTCATGTGTAGTATGAACATATGCTGATATATATTCATAACTTAAAACTGATTCTTTCATTTTTCTGGACTGTATAATGACGTGCATCTGAATTTAATAAAATGTGGACGTGAGACGTTAATTATCTTTGACTCACCAACGACAGTGGGTCATTTATTAACAGAATCAAATTTAACACATCACACATTTACATTAATTGGCAAAAATTGAAAATAACGACAGCTTATTAATCAGTTTTTACAGGAAGTAAGCAATACGGCGATTGTTTTCTCACTTCCAGCAGAACAGCAGACATTAACCACACGGCGGTGATTGAAAAACTTTGCTTCAGACATTTTTAAAAATATCTGGAATGATTTCTTAGCAGAATAGAAGAGTTTAAAGATTGAAGTTTAGAGGGAGGGAGATGGTGTGTGTGAGTGAAAAGTGTTGGACAGAACGACACCCTCCATTCGACCCAGCTTTCCTCGGTACGCTCGGTAGTCAACTCGACTCATTACCTCTCTGACGATGAATCAGTGAAAGCGGAGCTCCAGCTACGCTACCGGTCCAGCGTCTCCGTAGGATGGCAGAGAACCGTCCGGAGTGGTGATGCGACATCGTCAACAACAGTTCAGCTCACGGTGGACTCACATGAGTGGAGTCCTTCAGAAGTTCCACTCAGAGGTGGAAGATGTCATAATCCCAAAAGACTCGGAAGAGCTTTTAATCATGGCTGGACTTCTGTTCTCCCAAACGACTGGAGCTGCAAAAACTCTCCACCCGGCTCCAACTGGAGGTGGAACCTCTTGCAGAACTCTCCATCTACTCCAACTTCTCTCGGTTGAACTAGGAAGTGCCAACATTTAAAGAGCTCTATTTCCGGTTCATTTGGGAGTTCCTGATTGGTCGATGGACCAAAACAGAGGTGTGTTTTGTGATGTAAGGTGTTATGAAAAGTCAAGGAAAAAGATTAAGATTGTTTAAGAACAGACAAAAGATATTATGAAGAACTTCAGACTTCGTGGAGTCAATTCCCTAGTATCTTGCTGTAAAAGTTAAACATGACATTTCTTTTTCAGTAAACTTGCAGTTGACCAAAACTTGAACTTTGACCAACTTACACACTTGCTCATTGAAGACAGAAAATCAGACAATGTATCATTAACCTGATTTCTTCTTTGAATGAGGATTAAAAATCGTTATTACTGTTTCACAGTTGATTTAAAAATGAGTAGTTCACTTCAACATGTAAACATTGTTTGAACTAACACAATTTGATTATCAAACATTTGTAAAAATAGTAATGATAATTGAAAGTAGTGTTCTTCCACTTGATTTCACTTTGAAAGAAAGTCTCAGGATGGGTCAACCTGTATTTCTGGATTCAAATCAATGAAATGACAGCTTCTGTCCCATAAGTTCCTTAAGGTCAAATCCTGACCTTAGGCTTAGTTCACTACACATGCATTCAGAACGCATAGTTACACAACATGCGTCTGTGCATGGCACACATAATTACGCAATGCTTAATTACGCACATGGGGACCTGAGTGACAAGACGTTTTTTGGGCAAGCTTCTGCTTCATACGGTGTTCGAATGGACCCAGTGAGGCGAGGACAACATCCGCTTCGCCCTTAACCCATCAGCGACAGCCTTAAAGGGCGAAGCTTATATGAAATAGAACGTTGGTTACGTACTGTAACCCCAGATTCTATGAGTATAAGCGTAGCCCTTTAAGCGTCAGGCCTCACTGGCTCCTAAATGGCTGAAGAAAAAGCTATTTTGGGAGACGATTTCCCACTCTTAACGTAATTTATACGGACCGGGTGGGGCCCACACAGCAGGTGGGCGTGGACTAAGTTTTTCAGTGCAATGCTTTGCATATCGGGATAAACCCATCAGCGACAGCCTTAAAGGGCTACGCTTATACTCATAGAATCTGGGGTTACAGTACGTAACCAACGTTTTATTTAGTTAAATAAAATCATTCTTGTTTTGGGTGATAGAAACCTTTTTTAAGACTAGAAGAAGCCAAGATGCCTGAGGCATCAACAAAAGGACTTATGTCCTTCTTTTTATTGTCTGCCAAAACAAATTAGTCTGCTCTAACCACTAAGCTGTGCCGCTGTGTCTCAGTCATCCTCTAATGAGAAAGCTGGAGAGTCGATTCCTGACAGTATGCAGTCTCATGTTAAAATGTCCCTGGGCAAAACACTGAATCTCTATTGCCTATGATGTGCCCCACCAGTGTTTAAATACTATCTATAGCACTGATTAGACTTCTTTTTTTTTTTTTTTCAGATTAGCTTTTGAATATATCTTGTACAGTGCTGTATGAAGTGTGAGGATGGGTAGTTTATGGCAGTGGTTCCCAACCCAGGTCCTTGAGAAGCACCATCCTGAGTTGTTTTCTTGCTCCAACACATTCCAACTTGCTGATTCAGTGATTTAATTACTTCCTTGTGTTTTTCAGAAGCCTGTTAATCACCCATTCATTTAAATCAGATGTGTCAAAAAGCAGGGAAACAACGAAAACATTCAGGATGGTGTTCCTCAAGGACCAGTGTTGGGAACCATTTGTTTATGGTACAGATTGTGTTGTGAAGCACTTTGTCTAGCCTGGTTGGCTAGAAAGGTGCTATACAAGTACACCTTCACCAGCATATATCAAATATATTTGATTATTTATATTTATTTATATTATTTATTTATATTTATTTATATTTATATTTATTTGATTTATTTATATTTATATATTTGATTATTCTTCACCAGAGAATCTTCACCAGCATATATAAGTACAGTCCATTTACCATTTACAATAATTCTTCATTTGAACAACTATTGATTTTTTTCCCTCTCCACTCATTTTCATCAGTATTGAGAACAAACAAGGGAATACTTAAACATATAGGAAGGTGGTATAGTGGGGTAAACTTCCTGTACCGATGTGACTATTTTCAAACATTTCAGTTGTTGTTAATGGTCATCTGAAATTTTGCTGGAATTACACTCAAGAGCTTCAATGGAAGCAGCTTACCAACTGACGTAATCACCGCCTGCAAAGTCGACTGATGCAAAGTTGCAAATACATAAGTAATTCAACCTGATACACTGGGGGAAAAAAGGAAGAAAACCTGGGGATGTACTCAGATTAAAGAAGCATAATAGAATATACGTGAACTAGGATTGTTAATGGAAAATCGCCAGAACTTTCAGTGTGAGAAAATCTTTAGCTTTGCCTCAACAAACAAGCTGAAAGGCAAACAAAAAGGAGTAGGGAAACAAACAAAAGAACAAAAACAGGTTCTGTCGTTTTTTTATTTACTTTTTTTACTCCTTACTGAAGTAAGTCTCATCTTTTGCATAAGTATGAAGTAATTAAATATTTTAACTTGTGATGCTTGAGCGGGCAGCACGGTGGCACAACTGGTAGAGCTGCTGCCTCTCAGCGAGCAGGTCCTTGGTTCAAACCCCAGTCCAGGGGCCTTTCTGGGTCCTGTGAGTCCTGTGATGGACTTGCGACCCGTCCAGGGTGTACCCCGCCCCTCGCACAGTGATTGCTGGACATGGGCACCAGCGACCCCGTGACCCAAAATGGAATAAGCGGGTAAAGATAATGGATGGATGGATGAATGATGCTTGAGCTAATTAAATTTAATTTCCTGGTCCCTCTTTCTGCAGCATCAGTAAGTTTGACGAACGCTGCTGCTTCCTCTACGTTCACGACAACTCAGACGACTTCCAGATCTATTTCTCCACAGAGGAGCAGTGCGGTCGGTGAGGACACACACCTCTAGATGTGTCTGTGTAGGTGTGTGTGTTTGTCCGTGCTTGCGTTTGCACAGCACGTGCAGTAATGTGCAAAAAATCTTGAATCAACTCTTCTTTTCTTTACACTTCAGACTGCATGCAGAAATATTGATCAAAATGTTAAAAGATAAAGAAGAAAGTCTGGTTATTGGAAGAAAAGAGTTTAAAAATAGATTTTTAGAAGTTTTTGCAAAATGCTGCATGTGTAGTTGTGATTCAGGCCACAGGCCAACAATAACTACAGTGTTGTGTGTTTGTGGTGGTTTGTGTCAGGTTCTGCTCTATGGTGAAAGAGATGATATCTGATGGTACGGGGAATGCTGTGGAGCTGGAGGGGGAGGGTGATGGAGATACGTTGGAGGTCAGCGTGTATCCACATACATAAATACAAAGTACAAAATAATCAATTAAAGGTGCAAAATTTGACATTACATACATATGTTTGAATGTTTTGCGCATGCTGTGTGTTACAGTACGAGTATGACATGGATGAGAATGGAGACAGGGTGGTGCTGGGTCGGGGCACTTATGGAGTGGTGTATGCTGGGAGGGACCTGAGCAACCAGGTCCGGATCGCCATCAAAGAAATTCCTGAGAGAGACAGTCGGTAGGATCAAATCATTAACTGCTGTTAAAGTTTTCTACACGTTTCTGTAAAGGTGATAATAACAATAAAGGAAATTATAATAATTTCCTTATATTTTTATGAAATGCATTGTCATTTTCAAAATTTACTATAAATAACAACTCAAAGGGTGAAGAATTATTTGTCAATAAATTGGCCGACATTAGACAAAATGGTGTTGTCAATAACGTCTTTTGAGCTAAAATCTTAGTGTTGCTGAAAACATTTCTGTAGAATATTTTAAATGTGTACATTTTACAATAGACTATAAATAATTATAGGATATATTTTTAGATTAATGATGTTATTTCAGTGTCAATAGGTTCAGGCTAAATTTATTAAATGCTGCAACTCTGCCACCTGCTGACATGAATGGGCTTCTGTGTTGGCTTTTTGCTATTTCATAAAACAAGACCGTATATTTTATTCATAAATATGTGTCGGGTTGTGTTATAATCACATAAAATAAAGCAACAAAAGTGTTTTTGGTCCTTTTCTGTGCTTTTTTCTCTGTGACGCAGATACTCACAGCCCCTTCATGAAGAAATCGCCCTTCACAAGTATCTGAAGCACAGGAACATCGTTCAGTATCTGGGTTCTGTTTCTGAGAACAAATACATCAAGATCTTCATGGAACAAGTGCCTGGAGGTACATTTCTACCGGCAGGAGACAGTCTGTTTCACAGATCTATGCTTGTGACCTCCCGATTACCGGGTGGTCTCTCTAACTGTTGGTCGTGTTCCCATTTCATGGTAGGTGTTGGACACTCCTTGTCTCCTTTTTCCAGGAAGCCTGTCTGCACTGCTGCGGTCAAAATGGGGTCCTTTGAAAGAGGCGACAATCATCTTCTACACCAGGCAGATCCTGGAGGGACTGCGGTACCTGCATGAAAACCAGATTGTCCACAGAGACATCAAGGTGCTTGCAATCACATTAAACATGACACATTAAACAAATACACATTCATCAGTGACATTCAGTGATAACACTCTTGGTCTGATACTTGGATAATGCAAGACATATTAAGGAGCCAGCTCGAACCGTTTTAAATAAACTATTGTAAACAGGAAAGTTTTTTTCTTATACGACAATAAATTAAAAAACTACCAGAATATACCAACTACTAAAATGGATTAATCCATTTTAATTTATGCTTTTCACTCATTTTACATACATCAGAAAATAAAAAGTGGCAGCTGGTTAAAAAGTAAAGAGTATCTAGTGCAGGGCTATTCAACTGGTGGCCCAGGGGCCAAATCAGGCCCATGGATGAGCTCAGTTCGGCCCACTAATTGGTTCATTTTTAAATAAAACTAAATTTTAAATCATAAAACAAACTTACTTAATGAGAATGATTACTGGATATCAGGACCCGGAGCTCTTGGCTTTCAGTAACTGTGGCCCCTTGAGCAATTTAGTTGAATAGTCCTGATCTAGTAGGTTTAATATCTAACTATGGTAGTCATCTGGATGCTACACAAATCTTAAATGTTTATAATTTTCTACATTTACTACTGGGAGTGATGGGTAAATATTCAGCCTTGCAAAAATTTCTCAGCTAGAAGGTCATCGGTTCAAATACCAACCTGGGACCTTTCTGGGTAGAGTTTGCATATTCTCTCTGTGCATGCGTGGGTTTTCTCTGAGTACACCAGTTTCCTCCCACAGACCAAAAACATGTATGTTAGACTGATTGGTAACTCTAAATTGTCTCTAGATGAGTGAGAGAGTGAATGGTTGTTTGTATCATTGGTCCCTGTGATGGACAGGAGACCTGTCCAGGTTGTCCCCCTCCTCTCACACAGTTACTGCTGGACATGGGTACCAATGACCCCCGCGACCTGGAAAGGATGGATGATTGTATATAATATGTCCGTTCTAGCCGAATAAAGGTTAAAGGGTGTGCATGTAAAGCCATGACACAGGCATTCAGATAAAAGATGGTATTCAATACTGTTTTTAATAATAAATCAAATTTATCATTGTTGACCTGTTGAACATTTGCTAAATCTTTAAAGATATTATGTTGACAAGTTTCTGTCAAGGTAAACACTATACGATTTTCAAATTCTTATGACAAGACAGTCAGATTCACAAGAAGAGGTAGAAAGTTGCTAAAAATATTTGCAAAAACTGGGCATTAAGATTTATTGTAGGAAGAAGGATGCTGAAGACTGTAATGTGTTAATAATTTTAATGTGTTTCTTCAGGCATGCTCAAGGTAGATGATGGTAATTAATACTTTCTTTATGGACTTTTTTTTGTTTGTCTATTTTGGTCTGTTTTGTCTGTAGGGTGATAATGTGCTGGTGAACACCTACAGTGGCGTTCTGAAGATCTCCGACTTTGGAACCTCGAAGCGTCTGGCTGGAGTCAACCCCTGCACAGAAACATTTACAGGTATCTGTTCCCACCACTGGCTCATTTTTTTTAAATACATTTTATTTGGAGCTGAAAACACTGAATATAAAAGTTTGAGATGTTTGGGGCATGCTCTATAGAGATAAAAGGCACGTACAGAAGTTTGACCACAGTATTCTTTTGTTTTAGTATAATTTATTAAATCAAGCCATGAAGTAGTTAAAAGATTTGAGGGCCAGATTTAAATTGGGAAGCAAAATGTGAAAATGCGCTTTGTAATTTAAAGGGAAAATAATGTAAATCTTGCACATTTAAAAGGAGGAAATGACTCAGATAAATGTAAACTATGCACGAGTCCCAACCAGTTGCACGTAAACAGTAATTCAGTCTGCGCTGCATAAATGGAGTCATTGAAATGCTGCTGTCTCAGACAATGAGTGTAAATATCAAATGACCCTCAAAATGTCAAGAGCCCCTATCAGCCTCTATGGAAACACTCAAACACACAACTGTGTGTGGACATACACATTCAATAGCCATCTGGCCTTCTCCTGAGGCCACAGAGGTGTGTGATTTGATTAGCTAATCAAGCAGAGGCAGAAGAGGTTGTTTACCTTTCATTAGCAGGTCGGTGGCTCTGCTTTTCTTTCTGCTGCTTCCCTCGCTCACTCCTGGCGCTCCATTTATAGATCTGGTTGTAAATGTGAACACACTTTGGGCAGCATAGGAAACAGGTGACATGAAAGGTGCTATATGTGGATTTATTTATGTATTTTTCCAGAAAAAGGGATTTTTAATTTTAAGTTTAAACAATTTTTCAAATATTACACATTCCCGCACTTTTGAATATGTTATATACTTCTAGCATTGCCCAAGTTAACAGTTTATTATGACAAAATACAATATAATGAAATACAATGATGATTTGGTCAGTTTTGCTGCTCTCTTGTTTTTGCACCATTGATTTTATTATTCTGCACATTAAACACATTCTCATTAAAAATTGCTTCATATATCTATTTTGTTGGGGAAATAATACACATCTAAATGAATAAAAACAGCTTTTGGAAATGATTTATAACCTTCCCTGCAGGCACTTTGCAGTACATGGCTCCAGAGATCATCGATAAGGGTCCTCGAGGCTACGGGGCCCCGGCTGATATCTGGTCTCTGGGGTGCACCATCATTGAAATGGCAACTGGGAAACCTCCTTTTCATGAGCTCGGGGAGCCACAGGCAGCCATGTTTAAGGTAGACACTGTTCCAAGTGCTTGGAATAAAACGGATGATAACTGTTTTTGGTATATAATCACAGTTTGAAACATACATCCTCTATTTAATTTACATTTTTCTCATTTCAAAATGTCAATTCAAAAGGCGTTATGGCTTTGCATTGCAGGTGGGCATGTTTAAAATCCACCCAGAGATCCCTGAATCTTTATCAATAGAAGCTAAGTCCTTCATCCTGCGCTGCTTTGAGCCGGACCCTCACAAGAGAGCCATCGCTGCAGATCTGCTCCGGGACATTTTCCTCAGGCACAACGCCAAGGGCAAGAAGAGCAAGATCGCCTTTAAACCAACAGGTTGCTTACAAAAACACACTTCCTGTTAATGCTTTTTTTTGGGTCTGAATATGTTAACACTCGGGTGAGTTTTGTACTGATTCAGCACTGATTTGATATCAGAAGAAACATAGCTTTCTCAGGTGGCCTTAGATCAAATCTAAAATGTGTGTATGTTTTGTGCTCACACATCTCTCCAGACTACATCCAAAACGTGTCTATCCCGGTGCAGCTGCAGGGTGAAGCTGCTGGCAGCAGCAGCAGTGAACATGGCTCCGTGAGTCCGGACTGCGACTCTAAACATGACATTTTCTTCCAGAGGAAAAAAAACTCTGGCTCAGAGAACCTGCTCAAACCATCCACCTCCAGCTACCTGAGGTGAGAGCATGGTTTATATCATTTAAAACTCAAATTCGCAGATACTGACCTGCTCTTCTATCCATCCATCCATCCGTCCATCCATCCATTATCTTTACTCACTTTTTCATTTTCGGGTCGTGGGGGTAACTGGTGCCCATATCCAGCAGTGGACACCTGGACAGGTCTCCAGTCCATCAGGGCCCTGCTCTTCTAATAATTCTAATCTGAAAATGTACTAAAACTTATTATAAATGTAAAAAGTACTCATTAGAACTGTATTTTAAAGGACGTATAAGTTCTGCTAATATGTAAAAAATGAGTTGATAAGACAAATGAAAGTGTGTGTGTATGTATGTATGGGTGTTTGTGTGTGTATGATAGGTGGCCTCTTTATGGCCTACTGCCTTTTACAATACTGATATAATGAGGGTTTAACATTTTATAATCTACAGCTGGCAGCTGTGCACACACACATTTTGACCCATGCACAAATACATGAGTGTGCATGCATCCATGCATGTTCAAGATTGCTGACTCATGCTGCACTTTCCTGTGCACACACAGTAGCCAGGAGAGGCTTGTATGCATAAAAAAACCTAAAGGCTCTCGTGGTTTCTACTTTTTTTTTTTTTAACGATGCTGTAAAGTCGTGGCTTTTGGGTGCATTTCAGTGTCCCAGACGATAGTACGGTTTCGGAGGACCGCAGTGCCCCCCCTTCACCCGAGGACAGGGACAGTGGTCTGTTCCTGTTGAAGAAGGACAGCGAGAGACGGGCCATTCTGTACAAGGTCCTAAATGATGACCAGGAAAAGGTCATCTCTAACCTGAGGGAAAACCACATGCAGGTCAGTGTGTGTGTGTGTGTCTCCATGCATTACTCATGAGCTTTTGTGTGTCATTTTACATTTTCGGGTTGCGGGGGAGTTGGTGCTGATGTCCAGCAATCACTGTATAAGAGGCGGGGGACACCCTGGACAGGTCTCCAGTCCATCACAGGGACACAAAGAGACAAACAAACATTCACACTCACACATAGGGGCAGTTTAGAGTTATAAATTAACTTTTGCATGTTTTTGGTCTGTGGGAGGCAATGGTAGTACCTGGAAAAACCATCATGAACGTGGAAAACCGACAAATCCCACACAGAGTGTCCAGCAGGCGAGCCTTGTTGTTGTAAGGTGACCGCTCTGACCACTGAGCCACCCGTTTTCACGCATCTTAAATTTAGTGACACACATCAGATATCACAAGAACAATTATAAAGCATCTGAGTGAAATTGTTGTTCAGGTTGCACTTAGAATTTAATGTATGCTTATGTTGTTTGAGAAATGAGTGTAAAGCATTAGAAATGATCAGACGTGATGCCATTTTGTCTTGATAACTGTGTAAAATTATTATTTAAAGAGATGGGAGAATAACTGAGGTAAAGTTTGATGACAAATTAAAATGCCTTGTTTACCATGTGTGCTGAAAATATGATGAAACTAATTTGTGCTTTTTTCATGCTCATAATACAATCTGCAAAATCCACAAAGAAAACAATTAGTTTGAGCAGGAAGTGTAAATATTTAGAACTTAAATAACACGGGCAGAGCTGTTGGGCAGCACGGTGGCGCAACTGGTAGAGCTGCTGCCTCTCAGCAAGCAGGTCCTTGGTTCAAACCCCGGTCCAGGGGCCTTTCTGGGTGGAGTTTACATGTTCTCTCCGTGCATGCGTGGGTTTTCTCCGGGTGCTCCGGTTTCCTCCCACAGACCAAAAACATGCATGTTAGGCTGATTGGTAACTCTAAATTGTCCCTAGGTGTGAGTGAGAGAGTGAATGGTTGTTTGTCTCGTTTGTCTCTATGTGTCCCTGTGATGGACTTGCGACCCGTCCAGGGTGTACCCCGCCCCTCGCACAGTGATTGCTGGACATGGGCACCAGCGACCCACGTGACCCAAAATGGAATAAACGGGTAAAGATAATGGATGGATGGATGGATGGGTAGAGCTGTTGCCTCTCAGCGAGAAGGTCGCCAACTCAAGTCCCAGCCAGGGGACCTTTCTGGGTGGAGTTTGCATGTTCTCTCCCTGCATTCGTGGGTTTTCTCCGGGTACTCCGGTTTCCTCCCACCGACCAAAAACATGCATGTTAGTCTGATTGGTAACTCTAAACTGTCCCTTGGTGTGAGTGAGAGAGTGAATGATTGTTTGTCTCACTTGTCTCTATGTGTCCCTATGATGGACTGGAGACCTGTCTCTGGTGTCCCCCACCTCTCACACAGTGATGGCTGGACGTGGGCACCGGTGACACCCATGACCCAGAAAGGGTGAAGTGAGTCAAGATAATGGATGGATGGATGGATAATGGCAGGTCTTAAATTATGTAACTATTAAACAGATGAACAACATGTGGCATACATTATTATACATCAACATATATTTTTCTAAAGTAAAATTGAATCAAAATACAGAAGTACTGAGTGAAAGTTATGAACACCCTACATTAATATCCCGATGCATGCTCAATAATCCAGGTAGAAAAATCTAAAAACGTTAAATCTGGTCCTCTGGACATTCAAATTCTACACTTTTTTGTTGTTTTGCTTTGTTTTGTTTTTTTTGAATGTCCAGAGGACCAGATTTAACTTTTTTAGACCCTACATTAAGTATATTATACCACACGCTTGGAACTGGTCGTCTTTTGTTGAACCTCTGACATCATTGTTAAGAAATTTATCTCCACTTTTATTAACCTTAAAGTTTCAGATGAGAGAGTTTTGTAGACTTTTGTTTGTGCACAGCTTTTTTAAGGTCTTGCTACAGCATCACAATTTGTTTTTAGTCAAGTTGTCCAGGTCCTGTGTCTGCAAAATTATTCCCAAACATCAGCCCCTCACCATCGTGTTTAAGAATCTTATCCACCTATTCAAAATTAAAAACCACAATGGTGTGAATATTGTTTAATTTTAGCATATTTTTGTTAAATAGTGTTACAGCAAATGTAATTTATGTGCTAACAAATGTGCAGATTTCTTTTCTGTTGCTTTTTTAACATTTGTTTAAAAACTTGAAAAAAATACTAAAAATGCTTTTATCTTATTAAATAATAAAAAAGATGAATGCAAATATAACTATGTACATAGTTCATTGAGATTTTTTTACTACTTTTTCACTGGTGTCATTTATAATAAAAAAGTTACTCAACAATAGAACAAATTCACCTAAATAGTGGTCAACAACGTTTTAAAGATGGAAACAAATATAATTTTTTACATCAAAATTTTCTAATTATTAATAAATGAACACCTCAGTCAACATATTACAAATTAAAACGGTTTTTAGAGGGAAAATCATTTATCTGCTCATTTCAATAAAGTTTGAATGAATGTGCTCATTTAGATTACCATCCATCCATCCATTTTCATCCACTTATCCAGGGTCGGGTCACGGGGGTAACAGCCTAAGTAGGGAGGCCCAGACTTCCCTCTCCCCAGCCACTTGGGCCAGCTCCTCCGGGGAAATCCAACGGCGTTCCCATGCCAGCCGAGAAACATAGTCCCTCCAGCGTGTCCTGGGTCTTCCTCTGGGTCTCCTCTCAGTGGGACGTGTTCGGAACACCTCACCAGGGAGGCATCCAGGAGGCATCCTAACCAAATGCCTGAGCCACCTCAACTGGCTTCTCTCGATGTGGAGAAGCAGCGGCTCTACTCTTGAGTCCCTCCCGGATGACCAAGCTTCTCACCCTGTCTCTAAGGGAGAGCCCAGACACCCTGCGAAGAAAACTCATTTCAGCTGCCTGTATCCGAGATCTCATTCTTTCGGTCATAACCCAAAGTTCATCAGCATAGATGAGGGTAGGAACATAGATCAACCGATAAATTGAGAGCTTCGCCTTTTGACTCAGCTCTCTCTTCACTACGACAGAACGGTACAGCACCCGCTTCCCTGCAAATGCCGCACCTATCCGCCTATTGATCTCTTGCTCCATTTTTCCATCATTCGTGAAGATCCTGAGATACTTGAACTCCTCCACTTAGGGCAGGACCTCCTCCCTGACCCGTAGAGGGCACTCTACCCTTTTCCGGCTCAAGACCATGGCCTCGGATTTGGAGGAACTGATCCTCATCCCGGTTGCTTCACACTCGACTGTGAACCGCTCCAGTGAAAGCTGTAGATCACGACCTGATGAAGCCAATAGGACCACAACATCAGCAAAAAGCAGAGACGCGATCCTAAGGCTACCAAAATGAATCCCCTCAACACCTTGGCTGCGCCTACAAATTCTGTCCATAAAAGTTATGAACAGAATTGGTGACAAAGGGCAACCTTGGCGGAGTCCAATTCTCACTGGGAACGAACCCGACTTACTGCCGGCAATGCGGACCAAGCTCTGACACCGGTCGTACAGGGACCTAACAGCCCATACCAAAAAGCCTGGTACCCCATATTCCTGGAGTTCCCTTCACAGGGTTCCTTGAGGGACACAGTCGAAGGCTTTCTCTAAGTCCACAAAGCACATATAGACTGTTTGGGCAAACTCCCACGCACCCTCCGGGACCCTGCTGAGGGTGTAGAGCTGGTCGTGTTCCCGACCAGGACAAAAACTGCACTGTTCCTCCTGAATACAAGGTTTGATTATCTTATGGACCCTGCTCTCCAGAACCCCTGAAAAGACCTTACCAGGGAGGCTTAAGAGCCGGACCCCCCCCCCCCCCCGTAGTGCTCTATAAATAAAGTTGACTTGACTTGACTAGTTGGAACACACTCTACAGTCCCCCTTTATGAGTAGGGGGACCACCATCCTGGCCTGTCAATCTAGGGGAATTGCCCCCGATGTCCACACAATATTGCAGAGTCACGTAAGCCAGCCCCACAACATCCAGAGCCTTAAGAAACTCTGGGCGAATCTCATTCACCCCTGGGGCCCTGCCACCGATTAACTTTTTAACCACTTCAGTGACCTCAGCACCAGAGATGAAGAAGCCAACCCAAAGTCCCCAGGCTCTGTTTTCTCAGTGGAAGACGTGCTGGTGGGATTGAGGAGGTCTTTGAAGTACTTTGCCAACGGACCCACGACATCCCAAGTTGAGGTCAGCAGCACACCACCTCCACTGTAAACAGTGTTGGTGGTGTATCCCCCCCCCCCCTCCCCGAGACGCGGGATGGTGCTGTGTTCACCTCAGACTGAAAAAGTCTTTCGGAAGAAAGATGAAACGATTCTACTTTTGTTGTTGTTGTTGTTGTTTTGCTTCGTGTTGTTTTGTTTTTTGAATGCCCAGAGGACCAGACTTAACTTTTTTAGATTAATTAACCTTTATTTATACAGGTAGTTATTGAGTGACAAGGACTCATTTTTAAGATAGACCTGTTTTTGACAGACAAAATCATATACAATTTAAGCAATACTGTATAATAAAAACAAAATCAAAGTACTGTATAAAAACAAGGTAAAGTACTAAAATCAATAACAAATTTGCTTAGATTTTTCTAATGACCTTATCAAATGTTTAAAATCCCTTACAGAAATCAAAGTGGACAACATCAGATTTTGTTGCAAGGTATTCCAGATTACAGGAGCAGAATAGGAAAATGCCTTTCACTGAGATAATTCCGCACTGAGGGGACGATGCAGGTAATAGTGTCTAGCGAGTGCACGCTGTAACTGCACTGACGATGTGACATGTGAGAGGAGATCTAAGAAGGCTGCAGAGCAAGGAGTATAGATGAAAATTAATTCAACCTTTATTTAGACAGGTTAATCCCATTGAGCCTCAAGGACTCATTTACAAGAGAGACCTGAAAATGAACCAGTGTGATAGCCTACGTGTAGATAACGATGACCAAGGAGGACCAAGGAATACAGAGTGCAGTGATGGGTATGGTAGTTACAACCAGATATGAACCTTAGCCAGAGTCAGAGCGTCTTTATTTGTCATAGTCAAGTCAAGTCATCAGATTTATTTATATAGCACATTTAAAACAGAAACTGTTACCATAGTGTGCCTTGGTATTCAGCATCCAACATCTGCAAGGAGCTGGCAGGCACATTTATGTAAATAATTTCACCATAATCGATATCTGGTAAGAAGGTGGCATCTACAAGCTGTTTCCTAGCATTCAAAATTAAGCAAGATATAATTTTGGGGGGAAAAAGAACAAGAAAAATTCTTTTCAGTATAGGTTTTCAATTTGGGGCTTAAAACTTGCATCAATTAAAATTCCTAGATATTTGTAACTGTCCACAAACTCACTAGGAACACCATGTATGTATGTGATAGAAAGAAGAACTGCTGGCACTAACTTTCAGTTTGAAAACAGCATTATTTTAGCAGCATCTCAGTTTCATAGAAGAGCAGGAACCTGCATTTTCTTATACAAACCACAAGATAGCGCCAACACAAATTTTAATTTCACATTCAAACGTTTGATATCTTTGCAATTAACTCTTAAAACTCATTCAGTCTTACAAATTTCATTATTCATTAGGTTTTATAATGAGGAAGTAATAATTACAGTTTAGGACCTATAAGTTGATTATTTTGGCAGCACGGTGGCGCAACTGGTAGAGCTGCTGCCTCTCAGCAAGCAGGTCCCTGGTTCAAACCCCGGTCCAGGGGCCTTTCTGGGTGGAGTTTGCATGTTCTCTCCGTGCATGCGTGGGTTTTCTCCGGGTACTCCGGTTTCCTCCCACAGTCCAAAAACATGCATGTTAGGCTGATTGGTAACTCTAAATTGTCCCTAGGTGTGAGTGAGAGAGTGAATGGTTGTTTGTCTCGTTTGTCTCTATGTGGCCCTGTGATGGACTTGCGACCCGTCCAGGGTGTACCCCGCCCCTCGCACAGTGATTGCTGGACATGGGCACCAGCGACCCCCGTGACCCAAAATGGAATAAGCGGGTAAAGAAAATGGATGGATGGATGGATGAAGTTGATTATTTTATTGCATGTCCGAATGCAGAATCTGTTTGTGTATTATGTTTGTGTATGAACAGGGCAGTGAAGAGCTCCAGCTCTCTATTGAGCACATCAAACAGATCATCTGCATTCTGCGAGACTTCATCCATTCTCCAGAGAGGCGCATCATGGCGGCCACCATCTCTAAGCTCAAACTGGACCTCGACTTTGACTCCAACTCCATCAACCAGATCCAGCTTGTGCTGTTTGGCTTCCAGGACTCGGTCAGCACTCCCAACCAATCTACAATACACACTTCAATAGTTTTTTTTTTTTTAAATTGGCTTTTTTTAAATTATCCATTTAAAAAATAACAAATTCATTACATTTTAATCAGTTTCATTCAGAGGCTACTAAATGCAGATTTTACAAATGTGAAATGATGCAGGTTAAACAGAAAATGTAAATGACATTCTTTAAATGTTTATCATAAAGTGACACCCTAAAAATATGGTTGATCTCTAGTCAACAGCAACAAAGGAATTTTTTTTCTAAATGAATAAATGCAAGCATCAAAAAACAGAATAACTATAAACATAATTAAATAACATGAAAGCTTTCTAGAATCTACACATCTATTCTTGTTTTGCCCGATATAAGAGCTTGTTCACCGGCAAATCATTTTTTAATCATCTTTTAAACAACCCTAAAGGGCATGAAAGTGTTTATTTTATCTTGTCAGCTGCAAACAGTCGTGTTAATAGTCCATTTTTAAACAAAAATTGATCTTCCAAAAGAAATATCAAGAAATTCACATTTGTTAAACAATAAAAACTGTTAAATGTCCTCATGGTTTAAGCCATCAAACAAATGTGAACATCGATTTTTACTTAGATCAGATGTTCAGCTTTCGATCATCTAGGCTTTTGTTGTTTTCAGGTGAACAAAGTGCTGAGGAATCATCACATTAAACCCCACTGGATGTTTGCCATGGATAACATCATCCGACGAGCTGTGCAAGCTGCAATCACCATCCTCATTCCAGGTGAGCTGCAGCCTTTAGGACGCATGAGATACGAAAAACTCACAGCTTTATCTTATATTTGAACATTTTTATTAATTAATAGTCCTAATTATACCAGTTTGACAGCTTGTTATGGCACTAGAATAAAACAAGACATTAACTGTCATTGTTTCAACTCCAGAGCTGCAAACCCACTTTGGGCCAGCATCTGAGTGCGAGGGGGCAGAGAAAGACGAGGAGGAGGATGAAGAGGAAGCAGAGTTTGTCCCAGTGTTAGCTTCAAACTCTGACGACCCTGTGACAACAGCTGACAACACCCTACCGACCACCAGCACTCTAAACTCCACCCACTCGCAGGAATCTCAGCGATCCCATAATCACCTGGGAGTACAGCTGGGACGGCTTAAACTGGAGACTAACAGGTACCAAAGAAGTGGAAACTATCTGCTACAGAATCACAAGATGAGACTGCTGCAGGCTTGTTCACATGAGTGTTTGTACATTCTTCATGGAGCAGAACCTGCTTGTTAAGTATCAAAAGCTCCAAGAACAAACCGGCAAAAGAAGAAAATGCCCTTGGGATTTAAAATTTTGGATGAAATACAAAAAAATCTTGGATAAGTTTGTCTATCTGGACAAAAGCAGAACACAGGACACGTACAAAATAAATAACAAAAAAAAAGATTCAGTAAAAATATGCTAATTAAACATACCAAAGTAAACAGAAGAGTTTTTTGGAAACTTTAGTGCAATTTACTGAAGCATTGAAGTGACTGTACATAAAATCTAACTGGAGATTGATTTCTATGGGATTAAATATTTTATTACTGTCACGTTTTAAAGGTACTCACTGCAAAACACATCAAATTGCTATGTCCATTGAATAGTCATTTGGGATTAGGAGGTCAAACAATTTCAATGTACTGGTACAGTTTTAGACTCATGTTTATTAACTAAAGTATGCAGACAAAAGGATTGAAATAGTAATCTTACTGGTTTAATAGCAGTTTCACAAAACCTGAGTTTGTTTGAATGCAGAGCCTTGCTTTTATGGCACTCTGCCCTGCTTGGTACTTACTCAGTATCTATACTGGAGTTACTTTACTTAATTTACTTTACCTTACTAAATTTTTCTCTTTTGTTTTGTCTTTAGCAGCAAATTTACTCTTATATTTCCACATGTCTTCTTCTTGATTCAAACAAGCCACTAGGGAGCACAAAGCAGTGTAACTCTTCTGCCAGTCCCAAGACCAGGTAAATGGTGAGTGTTGTGTCAGGAAGGGCATCTGACATAAAACACTTTTGCCAAAACTAATATAAGAGTGCATCTAAGCACACCATACCAGATCAGTCGAGGCCCAAGTTAACAACGACCACCACCGGTGCTGTTGACAGGATGCCGGTGGAAATTGTGGCCACGAGGAGGGAAATATGTCAGGAAACAGAGGAACAAGAGGAAATTCAAGAATGTAGGACTGAGAGTTGTGACTCTAAATGTGGGGACAATGACAGGCAAATGACATGATGCAGGCTGGCTGACATGATGCAGAGAAGGAAGGTAGATGTTTTATGTGTCCAAGAGACCAAGTGGAAGGGCAACAAGGCTCACAGCATTGGAGCAGTAGGGGTGGTCCTGAAAGAGAAGTTGGCAAAGAATGTAGAAGAGGTGAAAAGAGTGTCAGATAGGGTGATGTGTCTGAAGGTAGAAGTAGAAGGTCTGATGCTAAACATTGTCAGTGGTTATGCTCCACAGGTTGGATGTGATGTGGAGGAGAAATATACATTTTGAAAGGATCTGGATGAAGTGATGGAGAGTATTCCCAGGGAGGAGAGAGTGGTGATTGGAGCAGACCTGAATGGACATATTGGTGAAGGAAACAGAGGGGATGAGGAAGTGATGGGTAGGTTTGGTTTCAAGGAAATAAACCAGAAAGGACAGATGGTGGTGAATTTTGCCAAAAGAATGGAAATGGCTGTAGTCAGCATGTTTCCAAAAGAGGGAGGAACATAGAGTGACCTATAAGAGTGGAGGAAGAAGTACGCAGGTCGACTACATTCTGTGTAGAAGAGGAAACCTGAGGGAGATTGGGGACTGTAAGGTTGTGGCAGGGGAGAGCGTGGCCAGACATCATCGAATGGTTGTGTGTAGAATGACTGTTGTTGTGAAGAAGAGAAAAATAGTACAATCAAAGAAGAAGACCAAATGGTAGAAGCTGAGGAAGGAAGAATGTTGTGAGAAATTCAGAGAGGAGCTGTTAAAGGCTCTGGATGGTAAGAAAGAGTTTCCAAATGACTGGGTTACTAAAGCAACAGTAATTAGAGAGGCAGGTAGGAAGGTACAAGACAGAGGGATCAGGCTGGAAAGGATGTGCAGCAGGTTAGGCTTGTTAAAAATAAAAATGGTAATGTTCTAACAAGTGAGGAGAGTGTGATGGGATGATGGAAGGAGTACTTTGAAGAGCTAACGAATGAAGAAAATGAAAGAGAATGAAGAGTAGAGGTTGAAACAGTGGACCAGGAAGTGGGAAAGATTAGTGACAATGAAGTCCGGAAAGCTCTGAAAAGAATAAAGTAGGTAAAGGCAGTAGGACTTGATGACATACCAGTGGAGGTTTGAAAATGTCTTGGAGAGATGGCAGTGAGGTTTTTGACTCAAATATTCAATGGCGTGTTTGAGGATGAGAAAATGCCTGAGGGATGGAGAAGAAGTGCGCTGGTGCCCATTTTAAGAACAAGGGTGATGTACAGAGTTCTAGCAACTACAAGTAAATTAAGTTGATGAGCCACACAATGAAGACCTGGGAGAGAATTGTGGAAGCAAGACTTAGACGAGGTGACTTTTTGTGAGCAGCAGTATGGTTTCATGCTGAGAAGAAGCACCACAGATGCCACCTTTGCTTTGAGAATGTTGATGGAGAAATACAGAGAAGGTCAGAAAGAACTCCATTATGTCTTTGAGGAATTAGAAAAAAAGCATACGATAAGGTGCTGAGGGAGGAGGTGGGGTATTGCAAGAGGAAAACTGGAGTGGCAGAGAAGTATGTTAGACTGGACATGTATGAGGACAGCAGGACAGTGGTGTGATGTGCTGTAGGAGTGACAGATAGCTTCAAGGTGGAGGTGGGAGTGCATCAAGGATCTGATCTGAGCCCCTTCTAGTTTTCTCCGGTGATGGACCGACTAACAAATGAGGTCAGATGGGACATGCATCAGAGGCAATAATGTGTTCAGTGTCTCTTCCAGGGACACTTCAGCATGCGTCTGCTAGTGGAATTGAACACTCAACTCTCCCATTGGAGGACGACTGCTCTAACCACTCGGACACAGCTGCCCCAGGTTGAACAACAGGGAGATAAAGTTAGAGAGGCCAGACTGAGATGGTTTGGACATGTCCAGAGGAGGGTAATAGGTATTTTCTGTTTAACCTTTAAAGATAATTAACTTCACACAACAGAGAGGTGTTTTTTTAGCGCTCAGCCCCTTTTGATCAAAGGGGAGAGTCACCGACTTGGTCAGAGTGAACTCTCTCGTTTGCTGGGTGAGTCTGTATTTATTATGTCAAAATGGGTCATGAAAACAAGTCAGGTTTACATGTACAAGCGTTTTATCAGGATGACGGTCAGAACATTTCAGAAGATTTAGCTTGTACAGATAGTTCCTTGATTAAACGTTCACTTGATGTAAAAAGTAGGTTTTCCAGAAACTTCCACTGAACAACAAGATTAAATCCTAAGAAATGAACATTTTGTTCAGTACATATGAAAACTGATATTATATAGTAAGATAGAAACTATTTTAAAATGATAACAGAGAAAAACTCTAACAAGGGACAGTGGGTATATTGATAGAAGGATGTTAGAAATGCAACTGCCAGGAAAAAGACAAAGAGGAGATATATGGATGCAGTTAGTGAGGACATGGAGGTAGATGGAGTGAGGACAGAGGATGCAGAGGACAGAGTGAGATGGAGGAGGAGGACTCGCTGTGGAGACCCCTGAAGAGGGAATAGCAAAAAGAAGAAGATAAAGTCTTCTTGATTCGACATGTTCTTAATTCCACCATGTTTATTCACAGATTTTGGCAGGTCTAATGTAGCTCAGTCATGTGGCTGAAGCTCCTGTGTTGTTTTTGGCATATTCAGCCAATAACCCACATTTCAGAATTGCTGAAAAACAATAGGAAACTCTATAAAATGAACTATTTGATATAATTCAAGATAACTTTTTAAATGCATAATTTCATATCATGCTCATTCTATTTTCTAATTGAAAGAAAAAATAATTTTACAAAGTGGTTCCATTATCAGCAATTATAAACACACAAGTACTGTACTGAATAATGTACAGCATTGCATGACAGCAGATTGCTGAAGTGGCCCAAAAAAGGGTGTGGAGTAAAAAAATATCCATAACTCTGTCATTGGCAATAAAAAGTCGAGTTTTGTGCAAACGTTTTTAGTCAATAATTTATTTTTCTTATTATTTTTCTTCTACTGGTGGACTGTTTCTGTGACAAACATCTCAGTTCATTTGGATCTGTTTGAGTCCAGGAGGAAGGCACGGATGCATGGATTAAGATAAAAGCATTATTGAAGGAAGAGTTTATCAGAGCATGACACTTTGACTTTTTAGTATAACTATTGTATAAAATATATATTTTTAAGTACTATATTTAGAATTACATTATGTTTTGGTTGAAGTGTAGCTGTTAACTTTTTAACTTTTCACTATTCAGGTTGAGGTCACAGCCAAGGCTTCAGACGTTTTATGACGTGTTTACCGGTAGAATGAAGCCTGTTGTTTTTTATGCAAACATGCTGTTATTATTATTAGCATACTTCCTGATGTGATGGACAGGTAATTACAGGTCCTTGAACACAAACTGCTGTTATATGGAAACTTTGTCAGGGTTCTTCAACCACATCTTGTGTATTCCAAAACATCATTTCCTTATAAAAAATAAAATAAAATAGGTGACAGCTATCTCACTATTAAAATTTCTCTTTCAATGTGGTGGAAAAAATACTATTATTATAGAGTTGTTTCTGTTCCACTGTTCCATAACCTAAGGGTACCAAATGGTAATTTGCATGCACATGTTTAATTTGAGCTTAGTGATAAACTCTGCTGTCCTGACACAATTTATGATTGGTTTAGTTTGTTTTGTTAGCATTCCAATAAACAAAGAGTGGTTAAATATTAGTTTGTCCAGTATTAATAACAAAATGGCCAACACGTAATGATTCGGAGAAAATTTAAAATAAGATCGATTAAATATTACAAAAGGATATTTAGGCACTTTATTTATTTATTTATTTAAGTATTTTTTGAAAACATAGCTCTACTCTCTCACAAAACCTGCAGATTTATTTATTTTTGTCACAACTGACCCAGAAGTTTGAATCATAGGACTCTAAGATTCA